TCTTCGAGCCTGATTTTCTCTATTACAAATTTAATTGAATGGTGTCATGTTGCGCTTGCTCTTTAACCTTTCTAATTTAATTAAGTAAATCCTTCTACTTTCAAACTAATTAAAAATAAAATAAAAATTTGCCCAGTCCACAGATCGACTTTGGTAATTTTTTAGTGTTAGCACTAGAATTACAAGGTATTAGCCAAATAACAAACCCCAGAGCTTTCTTTTTGAAGCTGCTGCAATGGCGTTCCCAACGCTCGCCTTTTCCTGCAATTTGCCAACCAGCCACAATGCTTGCAATATTGACCCCACCATCAAGTTTGAAACTGGATTTGACTAACTTGAAGTCATACTCAGAAACGCCCCATTCGTCTTAATGAAAGTCACCGCTTTGGAATTTCAGGAGCTCTCTATTAAATTTGGCCCAATCTGTCCTAAGGATTTCTCTTCTTGCAAGAAGATGAATACTGCTACTCCTCCGGTACCTGTCAAGTCTGCTAAAGGAAAGGAAATTAGATCGTAGAAGATGAAACTGAGGAATTCACTGTCTCGCCGCCAATGTTTGAAATTGGTTCGAGTTCAAAGTCTGCACCGTTGACTTGATCACAGAGAAAGAAACATAGTTAGAAAGCTCGGAAGGCAGCTAAGGCCCAAATCTCAGAAAGAGTACCAGATGACGAGTTTCCTCAAGAAGAGGAATTTGGATTACAGGAGACCTCTCCACTTCTACAAGGGAGTAGGTTCCACCCGTTGATAAATACTAATGAATATGAAAGTATTCAAGAAATTGTCGCTACTTTACCAAAATTTCATAGTTATAGTGAAGAGAGGGAGAAGCCCACCGCTATCACTAAAGTTCGCACAGTGTTTCAGAGGTTGGCCACTAAGGAAGGATGTTCGATAGTTGAATTACTTAAGCAAATGAGAAGTGTGGTATCCTCCTAAATGAAGAATGAAGAAAGAAATTATGAAAGATGCTAAGGCTGCCCAATGGTCCCACAAGTCAGCTGAAGCTTTGCCGGCTCGGATTCCCTTCAGATTCTGTATGGGAAGCCGAATTGATACTACCGTTACTACTACAAATTTTGTTACCTCTATCGCTCCAAGATCTGCAGAATGTCGACCGGCTAAGTCATGTCTGGGTCCAAGGATTCAACCAATTATTACCTATAAGAATGCCTCAAAGAGGGAAAAGATGAAGAAATTACCCGATATTGTGTTTGGTTAGCATTGCGGGGGGTGTCGATGCCTCTGTTGAGATACCCCATCTCAAGACATCATCATCGAGAAATCGAGAAAGAAAGTGTGGGTGGGTACCCAAAGTCGCCATACCAATACGATCTGCTGAGCTCGTAGGGTAGAATAGTGGAATAAAGCAAAAGTTAGAAATATCTACCACAAAATTTGATGAACAAGTGAAGGATGTTCAGTAAAATCCTCCATATCTTAAGACAATTTAGGAGGCAACAATTGAAGGAAAAGTCAAAAAGCTTAGAGCTGAGATTTCTGAGCTAGCTAAAGAACATGGCGTAACCATTAATGATGATGAGAAGGTTTTGATTTAAATGATTATCTGGATGAAGACTTCATGGATATTCATGTCATGGAGACTAGAGTCGCCTCGTCAGCATGTGATGCCCAACCTCTCATTGAAGGGAACGCGTGGATGATTTGTGTAGGGCTATTTTCTTGAGGGATGAACAGATCAGTCAATTGGAAAAGTGAATGGATGAGATGGCTGCCACCATGGCCGCCATGGCTCTAGTCAATGGGAAATCCCAGTCACAGTAGATAGCCTCTTCAGGGGTTAACCAGCTTGAAATAATCCATATTACCAATGAAAGAAGAGAAGTTGCTTCCGCTAATGGAGAGGATCAGCAAAATAAATATTCTTCACCAAATACCATGCCTGAGAAGGATATCAAACAATTGATCGAATAACAAGTTTAGGAGGGCAACCTCTGGATAGCGTTGGGGGTAGGATAGTGGTTGCCTCTGTTAGATTGGTTATCTCAAATTCAGGGAAGAAAATCCTCAAACCCCTGACCATGTATGATTATCTTTTTGCCCCAACGAGGTATTATGAATGTAATGATTATGATTTCGGTTATGTTTTGGTTGTTTTTAATGATAACGTAACAGACTTTGTTCGATCTAACTCTGATCTTGATTCCCAAACTGATCCTCAAATCGTACTTGTCTGATAAAATCATTAGTGGGAATGAAGAAGACATCAACAATACCGGTTACGATAGCACTAGAAGTGAAGAACCAGTCCTCAAGTGCGACGGTGTACCACTTGCTATCAATTTGGATCTCTCCGACGATGAAGAAGGAATATCAGAAATTTTGCCTACAACACCTCAGGAAGAAGAAATTATAGAAGTAAATCTAAGAAGTGGGAAAGTACTACCCTCGAGGTCAGCTCTAGTGGATAAAGGAAAACAAATAGTCACTCAAGAAGAGATACCTCCACCTCCGCCAATGGAAGAGCCACATAGCCAAGTGAAAATCGAAGGATTATACAAAGTTAATTATAATGCGCTAGGTCATCTTAAGAGATTGTCGGCCAAACTAAGCATTTATGACGCTCTAATCCTGTCAAAGGAGATGAGAGAATCTCTGGTTATAGCCTTGCTTGACCCAGAGATTTGCTTGGCTCAGTTGGCCAGCGCATCCCCGAATGAAGTTTGTTCATTAAAAGAATAGCCTGGGATAACATTTACGGATGAATACTTGTTGCTCGGTACCACCGACCATAACCGACCGGTCTACATCTCCATCAACATCGACAGATTTGTATTGTCCAGAGTCCTAGTAGACCCGGGAGTATCACTAAACTTAATGAGTCTACGGACATTGGCATATTTGGACATCGAGGCTCAAGAGCTTACAACCGATAAAATGATGTTAAGAGGATCCAATCAAAAGAGAGAAAGAGCTCTTGGATTGATTTCACTATTAATGAAGGCTGGAGAATTAATAACAACCGCAAAATTCCACATCATCGATGTTGAGACTTCTTTCAATGCTCTACTTGGACGACCATGGATTCACGACATAATATGGTTCCATCATTTTTACATCAATGCATCAAGTAAGAAATTATGAGATGATCTTGAAAGAAGTACGGTTCGGCAACTATCTCATGAGATGATCTTGAAAGAAGGTTGGCAAGACTTACTAGCTTAAATTGGCATGTCAGAACAGATGTAAGCAAAACATAGTAGCCCTATTATTAACATCTATCACCAAATTGGACCGAGGTTGTCCTCTCTCGTTGTGTGCATGGAAGAAAGCGTTAGGCCAAACAACCCTAGGGCATCAAATGTTATTACTCATTAACGTAAAGAGGATCTCAAGATTGACTTTGAGGAGGTGACTCACTTGGGCCTGCAAAGATATGGGAGTCTAACCAACCAAGCTTTTCTCACATACTAGCTCATATGGAACTACATTAGGTTGTTGGTTAACCATGTTCTAATAACCACTTAAGAAGGTGAGCCATGAAAGAGCAATGATTGGTGTTAATGCCATACTTAAGGAGTTGCATTTAAGTATTCAGGTTATACATGTGATAATATCTCTCTCTCTCTCTCTCTCTCTCTCTCTCTCTCTCTCTCTCTCTCTCTCTCTCTCTCTCTCTCTCTCTCTCTCTCTCTCTCTCTCTCTCATAAAAAATACCTCCCATATTACGTGCTTGAGCACATCTGTATGCAGCGCAATAGTGGGCCGTTGTCAAAGGGATTTGACAAAAATTACTTCAGTGAAACGACCACTATAAATCAAAAAGAGTTCGTAAACGCTGCTCAAGCAATACATTATCATGCATTCACCCCATTACCTTAGGATTTTTAAATCTAATTTATTACTTATCTATACAGATGGTTAAGACAGAAATTAAGCAGATCCTTTAAAGACACTCGTCAACTACGCAGACTGAAGTTTAGAACACACAACTCGATCATAAGAAATTCTCTCGTTGCTAATAGTTAGGTGCAAGATGTGGCTTCGAAAGTGGCATTTCCAGCCACTCAAACATGTGAACCACCACACCATACATAACAATATGAATGAAATTCATGTGAATTAAGGGGAGCTGAGGAGCTAAATGACTTACTAATGGTGGATTTAAAAAGAATAATTTCTTCCTCCCGTCATTCTAATACTAGAATTATTAGTACAGTATCTCCTGAGAAATTCATATGAATAAGGGCAGCTGATAGGCTAAATGACTTAATAATGGTGGATTTAAAAAGAATAATTTCTTCTTCCATTCTAATACTAGAATTATTAGTAAAGTATATCCTGAGTGTACACCTAATTCTTTAGAATTGATACCTTGGAGTTTCATTCCAAGAGAGATCTGTTAAAGACAAGCAACGTTCGATTAACGTACATAATTTTTTATGACCACACTAGTGATTAAAAGGCAAACATTGATGCCCGGCCGAGGAGAACTTGCCCAAGTGACCAAGTGCCCTGAAACCAAACCATAATTCAGAATATTTTAGTCTTTGTTTTACTTCATAATTCCAACTATCAGTTCATAACCTACATTAGCACACCACCTCAAAATCCAATCATTAGTCTTCTGCTTCATTTTCCTTTCAGAATACATTCGATCTTAGCACATTAAAAAAGACTGATTCCTTAATATTTCGAAGTTGTCAATCTCCCTCATTCTACCAGTTCAAGTAAAATAATATTTTTCCTGAAAATTTGTAAACCATTGTCAAATTACTGTATCCCCGCTCCAAGCTTTAAACCTATATAGAACTCCCATCCAAACTTTAAAAATGCATACTTCATTCAAAAATCCCATGAAAAACAAACACATCAATCAGACAACATTAGAATCAATGTACATGCAGTTATAGTGAAAAAAATGTAAAATTGGAACTATGTTTGTATATTGAAACTTTTTTTCTGATTACAAATAATTATTTAAATAAGTATAACCTGAAGGACAATTCTTGAATATGTATAATACATTAAATTAGATAAATGATATTTCTTTAAAATATACAATAACTATTTGACTTTTTCCCTTCCAAATCATACTTTCAAAAAACATGGCCCGGTAATGTATACTAAACTCCATATGAAAAAATAAAATCAATGATAGGAACAACCAAAACTATTAGGAGAAAATTGGAAATGGCCTCATATAAAAAGAATATAATAGCAAATATACCGGGATACTCCACATTATTAACGTATTAATCCTCTACAACTGGAGTAAATTCATCTCTTCAAGTCTTCAAAACTTCCAAGTTGTGGATACTTGCAACCCGCCCAGCATGATTTCCTCTGACCATAAAAACAAACGAAATGTAGGGTACAATATAAGTAGTCAGCCATATAAATAACAACAAAGAAATTAATTATTTTTACCCAACAAAACAGGCATTTGAAAGTGAAATTCTTTCTACAATCCCAATTACAGAACAAACCTTAGAAAGAAGCAATAATGGCAAAACTTACTTCAAAACCAATTACTTGGATATTCTCCAGTGATTCTGCTAGCTCGACTTGCTTCATAGAGGTAGCAGTCAGAGCCTACACAAAACAGCCTGATAAGGACAAAGATCCTGTACCTTGAATAAGTTTTTTTTTTTTTTTTTTTTATGCATATGAGAAATGATTTTTCACATAAGTATCGGGCATAATTACTTAGGCAGTTAAGACATATGGTTATGATGAGAAAAAGACATGAATGGCACAGTTGCAGATTAATGATATGGTAGATAGGCATGGGAGGGCACTGACATCTTTTGTCTTCCTTAGATCATGCTCTATAGTTCTGATCCGACTCAGTGACTCCTGGATCATGTGATCTTTCTCAGGAGGAATCTTTGTTGATTTTCCATTCAAGTCATTTACTCTGTCTTCCAATTTCTGCAACCTCTCCAAGTATGGAGAGATTCCATCTTGACAAACGTGTGAAGGACCTTGCACCGTGCAGCTTACCATTGTAGGAGATAAACATTGCCGATGATGTAGCACTGAATTGACATCATGGACTATTACATTTCCAAAAATGAACCGATGTAAAATAGATATCAGACACAGGATGATGTTAGCCACTGATTTAGCCGCATGCTTAAGCAATGTCCCACATGAAAATATTGGAGCAAAATGTTTATATAAATCACCTGTAAAAAAATCAAAATGTCTAATAGCAGAAATCATATGAATGGAAAAAATTTAACCACAATAAATAGTACACATGTTCATAGTAAATGTGTTTGATAATCAAAGATGCAATACAGCAATTTAAGGGAACCAATACGACAGCTCAAACATAATTAGCAAAAACGGAAACTGAGATCTGGAAAGATCTATGATGATTTCTTACATACATTCAGTCATTCACTAAAATTGAACTTTCTAGAAATTTCTCTAGCAAAGAAAACAGATAAAGGCAAATTATACTCATATTTAATAGAAGTCCACATCATGTACATACCCATATTTAGAGATCTAGAATGGATCTATGCGGATGTGTATTGATTACAGAGAGTTAAATAGGGAGAAAACCAAGAACAAATATCATTTGCCCAGGATCGATGATTTTTTTTTTATCAATTAGAGGGTGCAACTATATTTTCCCAAATTGATTCGTGATCGGAATATCATCAAATCAGAGTCAAGGATACAGATATAACTAAGACGGCTTTTGAGACCAGGTATGATTATTAAATTCTTAGTTGTCTTTTTTTTAACTAATGCTCGTGCAATTTTCATGGACCTGAAGAATTAAATTTTCAAGTTGTATGTGGATCGGTTTGTTATTATTTTCATTGGCGATATTTTGATTCATTCAAGAACTGATGGAGATCATGTCAAGCATTTGAGAATAGTTTTGGAGCTACTGAGGTAGAATCAGCTATATGCAAAATTTTTTAAATTTGAATTTTGGCTGCGAAGTATTAGATTTTTGAGACACATTATTACTGGTTATGGAATTTCAATAGATCCACAAAAGGTAAAAGCAATTAGGGAATGACCAACTCCAAAGAATGTTACGGAGGTATGTACTTTGGAGGATCGTCAAAGGTTTTTCACAGATAGTTATGTCGTTATGCAAGCTGATGAGGTTCAGCTTGAGTGGACTGCAAAATGTGAGTATAGTTTTCAAGAGTTGAAGAAACATTTTACCACTGCACCAGTGTTAACTCTTCCATCAGGTATAGAAGGATTCCAGATTTACAGTGACGCATCATTAAGACGCTCTGGTTGCATTCTAATTCAAAATAAAAGGGCGATAACTTATGCATCCAAACAGTTGAAGCCACATGAAAGGAACTATCGGACAAATGATCTGGAGTTAGCTGTTGTGATATTTGCTCTCAAGACAACATTATTTGTATGGTGTGAAATGCAAAGTCTTTACTAATTATCAAAGTCTGAAAAACATTTTCACAAAAAAAGAGCTAAATTTGAGACAGCGAAGATGGTTAAAGTTGATCAAAGATTACCGAATATACAATATTGTTTAGGTCGAGCAAAAGTAGTTATCGATGCATTGAGCCGTAAATCCACAAATAGTACAAACTAGATTCGTACTCAGAGGCCAGAGTTATTAAAAAAATTGATGTTTTACAATTGGAAGTTAGAAGATCATATATCAATAATTTACATCAACCCATGGTGCAACCAACTTTAATGAATAGAATCAAGGCAGTTCAGAAAATTAGCAGCGAATATTCAAAACTCCTAAAGCAATGTGAATAAAAAAAGAGGACTAATATAATGGTTGATGAAGACGACATTATCATATAAACTGTAGCTATGAGTACCTGTTGATTCTGATTTGAGACGAGAAATTTTACATGAAGCTCATCATTCAGGCTACACAGTTCATCCAGGCAACACAAAAAAGTACAAGGATTTAAAGTTGACATTCGGGTGGCCAGGTATGAAGAAGAATGTTACTGAACATGTATCTCAATATCAAGCATGTCAGATTGTAAATGCTGAGAATCAGAGACCCAGTCGATTGTTACAATCATTGTCAATACTTGAATGGAAATAGGAAAAAAATTGCTATGAATTTTGTTATGGGATTTCCTCGATCCAAACGGGGTCAAGATAGTATTTAGGTCATTATCGACAGGTTAACCAAGTAAACTTATTTTTTGCTTATCAGACAGATAATTTCAGTGAAATAGTTGGTCATATTATATTTCAAGGAAATTATCAGTTTGAATGGAATTCCAAAAGTTATTATTTCTAATAGAGACGGAAGATTCATGTCCAAGTTGTGGAAAAGCAGTCAACAAGATTTTTAAAACTGTGTTCTTGACTTTGGAGGCAGTGGGAAGATAACATTCCAATAATAGAATTTGCTAACAACAATAGTTATCTATCTAGTATCAAAATGACTCCTTATGAAGCACTGTATGACAGAAAGTGCAGAACTCCACTCAGTTGGGTTGAAGTGGATGAACGTCATATGTTAGGTCCTAAACTAGTTGACAAAGCCATAGAGAAAATCAGATTAATTAAAGATAGATTAAAAGTTGCTTAGGATCGACAACAAAAATAATACGGCCCATAGCACAAAGCAATCCAATTTGAAGTTGCAGATCTTATACTTTTGAAAGTCAGGACAAATGAAAGGTACAACTAAATTTGGTCATGGAAGCAAACCGAGTCCCAGGTGCATCGATCCCTTTAAAATTATAGAAATGATTGGTCCAGTCGCCTACAAATTAGCATTACTTGCGGATATATCAGATATACACGATATGTTTCACATTTCAATGTTAAGGAAATGAAAGATTTTAGCAACTGATATTAAAAAGCTTTGAAACAAATAGATTCCTTTTGTGAAGTTAAAAGCATAGGTCTAAAAAGAAGCAATGCGGGAAAAAGAAGAAATGCTACAAAAATATCCCTTCCTATTCCAGTAAAGTCAGAATTTTTTATGGCAAATTTTTTATGAGGGGAGAGTTGTAACACTAAATAGGATACAATGGAGAAAAATGATTCATGTAGCCGACGTAGTAAGATTAAGGCTTTGTTGTTGTTGTTGCAGAGCTGTAACACCCAAAAGTTAAGAAATCAGATAAAGTTCAACAAATTTTTGAAAAGTATCTCAAATTTTACATCTCTCGAAATTCAGTCGAAATAATTTTATTAAATTCTATGCATGAAATCAATCAATTCGATATAAAGCACCATGCATAAATTGTTAAAGAAAGGAAAAATAAAATGTGAAAGTATAAGTTTTATTTAATTAATTAAACTTTGATTATCCTTAATCCCTCACTTAATCCCGCAGCTCCACTGATGACAACTGACATCCACGTCTTTTATTCATTTCTTTCAGTCGAATAGAGCATCGAGCTTTGAATTCCTTCCCATCTTCTGAATTCCTCTTCTCTCTCATGATTTTGCCCCTCCCTCGCAGCTAAAGTGGCTTGGCAAGCAACCAACGACATTTGCTACAATGTCAAGGCACGAGCAGGCAAACCGAGCGGCGCACAGGTTAGCCGCGGATCGTGTTTCAAAGCTCCAGGGCAATTTCTAAGTGTGAATCCCTTGCTTATGTCCTTTGAGAATTTTATTTCCTTCCTCGTTTTTGGTAGCTGTCAGAGGTTAGCCGCACAGGATATTTATCTCATTTTTTGTATTTTTCTCATTTTTGGTAGCTGTCAGAGGCCTTGATTTTATGTCGAAAGTGTTGTAATTGATTTTGCGAGCTTCTAATAATATCTTAGCATGAAACAAATGAAAAGTAAGGTTTGATGTGATATGAAGGACAAAAAGTGAAATTAGTGATTTTCGAAATACAAATTTATGCTGAAAAAACCCTTCTGAGTTATGTTTCGACAAGTGTATTTTTGAATTAAAACATGTTATAAGCCCAAATTTCATGAATTTTTTAGATATCTATGTTTCCTAAGTTGTGTTTACGAGGGAGCGGACTGGAGAAGAGCATGTCGGAACTCATCATAAGGCTGCTCCATCAAGTCAAGTGAAATAACCATGTTTTAATTTAAAAAAATAATCTTTTATAAGTTTTCATATTATTTTTATTTTGACACATGCGTGTAGAATTTTCTGCATATTGTGAATAGATACCTGCAATTAAATATATTAATGCACGTTACTTTTGATACATGTAATGTCTTATAAATACTTGACACAGAAATGAATTCCCTGCAAGCATTTATTATGTTTCATGTCTATGATACAGGTAATGTCTTATAAATGCTTGACATAGAAATAATCATTTAAATGTCACAAGAAATGTTAACGGTAGACTATAACATGAGTATTTGCAAGTACAATATGCAGAGAACTAGTATTCCCGGCTACTAATATTTATATGTGAACAAAACATTGGGAATTGTTGGGATTAGGAGGTAACAAAACATCATAAAATTTTGGGTATCAGGGGAGCTATTTATAACTGCTATGTTAGAGGAAGTTCAACTTTTATCAATAGTTTATATAGCATTTGTAGCATGATGACAACCCATTATAAAAGAACATGAAAATAATTAAACCATATACATTAAACAAGTGACATTATTATAATGATCTCTATGGAATGACATTGCTACGATAATATATTATGAACATGATTTTTATTATATGTATGATTTCATGCTTAGGACCTACATCTTACACTGTAGTTTTTATTTTTATACTACACATACATGTTCATTTTTCATGTTCTCTGTTATGCTAGTATATTATGATTTATGTGCAAACATATATTGTTTCATACGAGCATGCACATTTTGTTTTCATGTATAAGATCTTATTTTAGCCCTAATTATTTCTCTAAGCTTGTTGTTGCTCATTTGTCATTGTTGCATTCCAGATAGGGGCAATGAGCATCAGAGCGAGTAGCCAGATGTGTCTTTGTACAGCTTTTGCATGATAGTTTTAGGAGCTTATGCTTATGTTTTGGTTACGTATTTTTATTATATTGGATTTAACAGCTCAGTGTAGTTTTCATGCTTTGAATGATATGATTTTCATGCTTCTGAGCATGCAGATGAAATGCAATTTATCACATATATTGTGGCTATCTTGTTAGGCTAATTCATCACTAACTGAGTTCTGATTATAAAAGTTAGGACGAGTGTTGGTGAGAATTGATCAGACTAAATTGTCAACCTCTATTGCAACACGA